GACAAAAAATCTCTACTATTAGGTTTTATTATTTGGTTTCCCCTATGTTTGCGATTATACTTATATCTAACACCCCAGTGTTACATGGCTGTTGATCATATGTTACAAATTATTATGTGCGGATTTTTTAGTATCTTTATCATATATTTCAACACATTGTAAATGTTGACAACAAAGTTCAACTAACAATATATTTTTTTGAAAACATTAATTATAAAAAGAAATTTATCTGTTACAATCTAAATTTTTATGGTAATAATAAATTGAATAACTTTAAACCATGATAAATTTTTTTTTATATAATAAAATTAAACAAAATTTTTTATAGTTTTATTGCTAAATGAAACAAATGATTCAGACCTAGGAAATTTTTATTTTATTCAACCTGGGAAAAAATTTTTAATACTTACATTTGACCAAAAATCAAGGATTTTGACACAAAGACAGCCTTCTAAGATCAAAGGCAATATTGGAGTTTGTGGAATTCTTCAATTTTATTATTATACTTCTCATTATTATTCTTGCTTGTGTTTTAATATAATATTTTGTACAGTTTTTTTATTATTTATTCTTAATTCATTATGTTTTTTAGAAATTATAAAACAATAAAATATTTTTTCTACCCTTTTTTTTTTACATATCTTAATTATTGTTGTAATCTATAGCTTTAACCTTAAATTCTTTCTATTCTATAATTATTAGTAATTGGTACATGTATAGCAACATAATGTATGCTATTTACCAGCATAATCAACAACAGGAAAACCACATTTTTTGCCATATTGTTCAGGTTGCAACACATCCTTCAATTCACATGATCCATATTCAACCTCCAACCATGAATAGAGAACATTATCATGCTCCATCATTAAATATTCGTCAGGCCCCACACCTATGGGCCATATAATATCTCTTGTATTCTGGAGAGTTGGATACCATGCTTCACCTTCTTTTCCACCCCAGTCAAAATCTACCAACATCCCCTGAGGAGATGAAGATTCCATGTCAGTTACAAGAATGTTTGTTGATCTTAGATCACCAAATACCAATTGATTTTTGTGCAGTAACCTTTTTGCCTCTGCAATATCTTTGAAAACTTTTTTTTTGTATTCAATGTTCAAATCATCTTTGATCATGAACAATGTTTTTGCTTCTACATACTCCATAATAACCATATGGTATCCCATGTATGCTACATCTTGATTATTATAGTACAGCAACCTAGGTGCAAGTTTATGTTTAGCACAGAGTTTGTGTGCATAGACATTGTATGCAGTGTTGTGAAATTGGAACATTGTAATGCTATTGGAATTATAGATGCTGGTCACAATTCTTGGTGATGGTTGCAACCATATTTGCAACATATAAAAATGGTTTGTGACACCTGGTTGCAACCACCTTTGCGACCACTTTGGTTTCCTTTTTTGGATTGCAACATGGAACACTATAAATATACCTTTGAAAAAAAACTTTTTATTTTAATTGTTTTAGTTTTATATTTATAATAAAAAAATTTATTTAATAATCATTCAAATAATTAAAATTAAACTAATCTTACTTTAAAAAAGCTTCAAACACTTTGGGAGATATGTTGGTTTTTTCAAATAAAATAGTATCTTCTTCCAAGGTTGGCAAATTGTCTGGTCCATTGAGAACTGATGGATTTTGGGCTGGTCCATTACCATTAATAAAATACTAAATATGGTTAAAATATTACATTAATGGACCCAATAGACCATCAATGGACCACACATTTGCCAACCCTGCCTTCTTCAGATCTCCTTACCCAAATGCTTGATAAAGCAACTTTAAAGTATGATGACCTTGTTTTTAAAATGGTCGAGTGAGCTTTAAATGTTTTGATGTTTTGGCCTATTCCTGCTTTGATTTCTACATTGTAAAAGTCAGGTTCATTTAATAGATTGGTTAGATCATTTACAAGTTTACTGATATATTTTAATGATGAAGTTATATTAACTAGTATTGCAAGTTTTTCTAAGGATATAAAATTATTAGACATCTTAAAAAATATTATATAATAATATTAATATAAATCAGAGACACAATCAACAACATCATAACAAATAATTTATATATGTAAACAAGTTTACCTTTTCAACAGCTAATAAAGCATCTTGACTTGAAATAGGAGATGTATCTTCGATGTCTTCTTCATCCTGATTTTCTTCATTGAAATTCGACATAGAAATTATCATTTATTTCAAATAATTGACTTAATTTTTCTGTTGGATTTTTATAAACAACATTTTTTATTTTTTTTATTTTGCGATTAATAATTTTTATTATTAATTCGTGTTTCGCCGATCATGTGTAGAAATCTATTATAAAATTGCATATAATTATCGGTCAACTTCAAAATGCTAATAATAAATACAGGAGGGTCGAATGTAACCCACTAATAAAATTTTTTAGATCAACATGGATATTCAATACTTTGTACAAGTGTTAAGGACAAGATCTAAGGACAAAATATTCTAACGAACGTTTTATCAATTATTCCATAGTTTGTACAAGCATTAAGGACAAGATCTATGAACAAAATATTCTAATGAATGCTTTATCAATTATTCAATAGTTTATATAATTTTTTTTTATTTTGACATATATTTTAACTTATATTTAATAACATCACTATGATAAATAAATAATAAAGTCAGGGATAAATTTAATCATTATTGTTGTTGTTTATTGTTCTAATCATTATTTACAGAAAAGAAAATTTTTAATATCTATTTATTTATCATATTTACTTTTAAAATAAATGATTTATTATAAAAGACATACCTAAATGATCAAAAATCTGTAAATATTCATAATAATGTAATATTTGGACATCTATTTCTACTTATACTTTGCAATTGGACACACCAAACAAAATTTTATGTATATGAATATAAAAGCAAAATTTGACTTTGAGGGTCAGGTTATTTCGGTTTTATTAACAACCTGCTTTAAAATTTTTCATAAGTAGATACAT